ACTATCTTATGATAGGTTTGCTGAGATATAATGTATCAGGTAAGCATGGCCACCAAAATGGCTACTGTTGCAAAAGCAGAAGAGCTCCTAGAAAAGCTTCGAAGTGCTTCCTGGAATGCTGCAGTTCAAGGTAGGTTATTGACAGCTCCTACTTTATGGAAAGTTATTTCTATGATTTTTAAATAGAGTTTATCATTCTTTGTTAGCTTTCCAAAAATAAAAAAGGGAGGAAAATGAAGATAATTTTTAATGAAACTATATTCAGGAAAAAGTCTTTTATGTTAGAAAATATACAGACCTTTTTATTTATTTATATCCTTGTAGATATGGAAGACCTTAAGAATTTCTCCAAAAGTAAAGATGCTCCAGAAGCTGATGATTTGATGCACTGGGACACCAGCTTTTGGAGTGAGAGGCTTCGTGAGTCTAAATTTGACATCAATGAGGTTCTCTCTCTCTCTCTTTGCTCGTATGTGTGTTATGTGCAACTTCTAATCTTCATCTGTTTGGAATTACATGTGTAACATCAAATGGTCTAATTAGTACCTACTACTCTCATTCACTTCATTAAATCTTGTGTCACTTTTGTGTGATAACATATATTAATGAAACATAATTGGAGATTGTCAAACTCTTTCTTTCTTGTTATAAATTTTTGTGTGCTATCATTTTCCCATTCATTTAAGGCCGCCGTTTTTGTTCGCAAGACTTATATTCCTGCCTTTGTATTCTACAGGAAGATTTGCGTCCATATTTCTCCTTGCCCAAGGTCATGGATGGCCTATTTAACCTAGCAAATATGCTTTTTGGAATTAATATTGAACCAGCTGATGGTCTTGCTCCGGTATGTATGCCTTTTGGAATTGCTATATTTTGGTTCATTTAATGAAGATATGAATTTGCATCCTGTACTCATATACATATATATACACACACGTCTTTCAGGTTTGGAACAAAGATGTTAGATTCTATCGCATCAAAGATTCTTCTGGGAGTCCCATTGCATACTTTTATTTCGATCCATATACTCGTCCATCAGAGAAAAGGGGAGGTGCATGGATGGATGAAGTTCTTGCTAGGAGTCATGTATTGTCACGTGATGGTGCCTCTGCGAGGTTGCCTGTGGCACACATGGTGTGCAATCAAACACCACCAGTAGGAAACAAGCCCAGCCTTATGACCTTCCGCGAGGTAAATTGAATTACTTTCAATTTTAGCTTACTGGCCATGACCAAAAGCTAGAGTTATTAGAAGGGGAGCAAAAGTTAAGGGTTTCAAGGGATGGTTAAGTGGGAATGGAAAAGGAATGTGCCTACTTTTGAGGCCCATCATATTTTTTTATGAGGAGATCAAGCCCATCATTTCACTTCCTCCTTTATCGCAGCTATATGAAAGTTTGATGATATAGATTACAGAAAGTGTGTTTCATAGATCCAAGGATGTATTACGGATCCCTCATTCAGATTGAGATGCACTGATCAGAGTCCATCCATGTAGTGGTTGGAGTGACTTTATTAATTCCGGTTCAGCATGAGTAAGTGTCGATTGGTTTATGTAAGGCCTTGGTATCCAATCAACACATGCCCAATTTTAAATAATATTTTCAGAAACACTTTTAGTATTGATGTTGTGAGTGGTTTGGTCTGAGGAATGCATGCAAGTATTGCCAAGCCTAGGCTTGTGCTATTGCTGGTAACAAGTCCTATTCTTCTACTTGTAGAATGTCAATGAGTATTTTTTTAAGTTGATATAATCAACTATTAAGAAGGCTCTGAATTTCTTTATAGAAAGAAAATCTGGGAAATTTTGGGTGGGACACTGGATGCAACAATTTTGTATATTTTTGTCTTACACAGTTATGAAACACTGATTATTTTTGCAGGTAGAGACTGTCTTCCATGAATTTGGTCATGCACTTCAGCATATGCTGACTATGCAGGATGAAGGTCTAGTTGCTGGTATTCGGGGAATAGAATGGGATGCTGTTGAATTACCCTCTCAGTTCATGGAAAACTGGTGTTACCATAGGTAATCTTGTCTGCTAAAATCCTTTGAACTATTATGCTTCGAATCTTCTAGATTTACTTCTCAAATGACAGGCGTTTATACTGATTGTGTCAAAGAGGGAGATGGGGAAAGGGATACATGTATGAAATATATAATTGCTCTATCATCTCATCACACACTTGCCCTTTGTTTCTCAAATTACTTACCTTTATACTGATTGTGTCAAATATGCGTGTGATGCTTTAAAACTTTATATATGTGGGAATTCTGTCCTAAAACCTAGAGCCGATTTCCCTTCCATGCTGTATCAAGTGAAAGTAGGATCCTATGTTCTTTGTCACAGTATTAATGATTTATTTCTTGAATTGGTGCTGTAGAGACACTTTAATGAGCATTGCAAAACATTATGAAACTGGGGAGACTCTTCCAGAAGAAACATATAAAAAGCTTCTCTCAGCTAGGACTTTCCGTGCGGGATCCCTAAGCCTTCGGCAGGTCAGTTTAGTATCTGGGTGTTACTTTTTCCAGACATCATCTTGGCTTTTTATATTGTTCTGTATCTTCTTGCACTATTGATTTAAATATTACTTGGTTTTACTTTTGTTGAGGATGCAAATCTGGATTCTTTGTTGCGTTTTGTCTTGCTTATCATTGTGCTATACGGAAGTATTATTTGTTCTCCGTGAAGGATGTCTTTCTTGTGGTGTTATACTGGGATTATGTCAACTTTGCGCATTCTGGCATCTGGAAGACATTATGACAAACATCTTGTCAAATGTTTGAATCCGACATTCTTGTGCAACTTTATTATAACTATAGAATGTTCCAATTTTTTAGTAAAATGTACCTGTAAATTTCGGTCAAACCAAACTAAGATAGGCAAGAGACAATCAAAGAGATGAAGAATTGCATTTATTGATATACAATTTATGTGCAAAAGTAAGAGAAAAAAAGAAGAAGCTGAACACTTCAATTCAGAGAAAAACCTAATAAAGGGAATACAAATTCTAAATTATCTGTAGTGAAATAAGAAAACGCCTAATAGAAGTTCTTTATTGTAGATAAGATTCATAGCATTTATGCTCTTTATTGTATATTAATTTTTGAATGATTTTCACTAAATATATTTTTGTTTTTTATTGTAGTAATTTGCTTGTATTATCCATAATTTCAGGAAGTCAACTGTATTCATGTACATGACAGATTTTGTCTTTGATTTGCATATTGCAGATAAGATTTGCAAGTGTAGATCTGAAGTTGCACACAGATTACATACCTGGTGGATCAGAATCCATCTTCGATGTTGATCAGAGGGTTTGTGAACGAACACAAGTGATCCCTCCACTTCCAGAAGACAGGTTCCTTTGTGGTTTCAGCCATATATTTGCAGGTTTGCTTCTACTTTCTGACTTTCAAGTTCTCAGCAGTGTTCTAATTTTCTTACTCCATCTGACCGTTTATCTGTATTTTGCTTTTTCTGTGAATATTAGGTGGATATGCAGCTGGGTACTACAGTTATAAGGTATTTCTTATTCTTTCTCTTAAGATAACCTGTGTTCAACTTTCCGAACCAAAAAAAAAAAAAAACTCTAGTACCTTATAATGATGTCTTCAAGTCAGTCCCTGGCTTGAGTTTATTGACTGATCAAAGTATTTGTAATATTTTATCATATCCCTGTGATTTGTGGCCTTGCTTTGTATTTTTAGTTGTCCATTTCCTATGGAATTTTATTTTGAGAGGAAATTGCTCTATTTTTCAGTGGGCTGAGGTGTTGTCTGCTGATGCTTTCTCTGCATTTGAGGATGCTGGATTGGATAACAGCAAGGTAAGCTGGAAACAGCTGTGCATAAGAACTGGACAAGTTTTGCAACTTACATTGTGTAACAGGGAGTAAAAATTCATGAATAGATTATGCATCATCTCCACATAGCTCCTTGTTGATTTTTTTTTATATAATATTTATCGTATCCCGACAAAGTCGTGCAGCTTTGCTCACCTCATGGGTTTTTTATATGCTTGAACACACTATGACATTGGACTTGGCTCATCAAACATGTCAAGCCATCTGCCTACTTTTCAGGTTTGATCTATTCACATGATGTTTAATCTTGCAACAGGCTGTTAAAGAAACTGGACACAAGTTCAGAGAAACCATCCTTGCTCTAGGAGGCGGGAAAGCACCACTAGAGGTTAGACAAACTATATTCCTTACGGGCATGCATACCTTTTCATGATTTCGTTATATTTTTTTCCCCACAATTTGTTTGTGGGAAAAGCTTTATTTGGTTTCAACCATCTCTGCTTTGTAGTGAAATAATATATGGCTTTCTCCATAATTGTTCTAGTGCTTAACCAAGCTTTGGATCCGTTCATTGTCGTTCTTTTCTGTCAATAATTATAAGTGCTCGTAAAGAGCATACTGATTTAGATTTCTTTAATCTTATATCCAATACCCCCCTAAGTTTCTTGCTGAATGTTTTGATTGTTTGTTTCCAGGTTTTCGTGGAATTCCGGGGTCGTGAACCTTCACCAGAGCCACTGCTCAGGCACAATGGACTATTAGGCACGGCTTCTGCATGAACTAAGATGAATTACGATGAGTTATAATGTTTACTTGGCCTTCGATTTATTTTTGGCTCTGCTTGGAGGAGTTGAAATGAGTTGAAATGTTTCAATGTCCCAAACCCATTTTAAGGGGTCTTGTGCGTCAATGACTAAATGATGTTGTATGAAGCGTCATTCGTCTCAATAAGATTGCTTGTCCAAGAACTCGAAAATAACACCCCAAAAAAAAAAATTGCAACAGTGGAATGAGGGTCGTCCTGTTGCAATTTCATTATAAAATAATTATTAAAAAAAACTAAATAAAAAGAGAACAAAATAATGGAGGGTTTGCCTTGGAAGGTAAGACTCACAAATCATAAGACAAAAGGTCATTACGCAATCCAATACCAATCTATCTATGATGTGAAAGTTGATATAGCAAGAAGCAACCCACCTCACCTCAAACTTCAAACCCTTCCACTCATTTTTTCCAAACTCCAAATAAATAAATAAGACAAAAAACACAGGAAGAAATAAAGGAAGGAAACCTGCCATCTTCACACCACCATATCATACAAAGGCATTAAAAATCAATTTGCTCCATTCTATAAAAAAGTTAAAAAAATTCAACTTACTCCAATCAAAGGCCAACAACAACAAAATAATGAAGGATGTATGTACCCACCTGAGTTGATCCTTTCCTTTGATTGCCTTTATAGTAGATTTGCTGGGTGAGCACCAAGTAGACAGATCAAGATGGCTCGGGCAGGTGGAATAACAAACGCAGTGAACGTTGGAATAGCGGTCCAAGCTGATTGGGAAAACCGCGAGTTCATCTCCCACATTTCTCTCAATGTTCGCCGCCTCTTCGATTTCCTTGTCCAATTCGGTACGTCCTTTTCCAACCTATATTCTCGGTTTTGGTTTTGGTTTTTCTGTTTGTCCTAGTTTGTTTCTAGTCTTTTGCTGATTTGGGTATGTCTCAAAATCTTGTCTGTATTGTTGACTTGCTTCAGTTGGTTTCACGGTTCTTGCTGATTTTGGTGCTGACCCAACTGAGATTTGGACCAATTTCTCTAAGTTGCTGATAGTTTTAGTGAGTTTGCTGATTTGGGTGTCTCTCATTTTGAGATTTGAGTGGATTTTAGACTTGGTATATGCCTCCCTTGAGGGTCCTAGACCATTAAAGATATGTCTAATTTATTTTCATTGCATATTAGCCTGAAACTTAGCACCTTAGCCAAAATTCCACCTTGTTCTGCCCAAAGATTTTTGGTTATAATTTATCTACTTTAAATGGGAGTGCACATATATTTGGTTGAATTTCGTGACCCGAAACAACGAATGTAGGATAGTTAATCATCATCTTGTTCAAGCACCAAGCTTTCTCTTGACTGAACTCTTCTTGCAGCCCTAGTTTGAATCTTTCTATAGGTGCATAGTTGGAATGACTACTTTGCCCAGCTTCAGCACAATCCGTTATTCTGTAATAATTTAGTTTGATGGAGTCCTTGCATCTGGTTTTGAATCTGATTTTTCCTTTTAGGATGGTGGTTTGTTTTAATTTGATCTACTTGTTAGACAAATTGGAAATTTCTCTTCCTTTTGGAATTTAATTAATGTTACACACTCTTGGGCTAATTTTTGTTTTTCTTGTTATTGAAGAGGCTACAACAAAGAGCAAATTGGCATCACTGAATGAGAAGCTTGATGTATTGGAACGAAAGCTAGAACTTCTTGAAGTTCAAGTGGGTACTGCATCAGCCAACCCTTCTCTTTTTGCTCGTGATGCTTAGCAGATCATTGTATTGTTGACTTGCTTCAGTTGGTTTCATGGTTCTTGCTGATTTTGGTGCTGACCCAACTGAGATTTGGACCAATTTCTCTAAGTTGCTGATAGTTTTAGTGAGTTTGCTGATTTGGGCGTCTCTCATTTTGAGATTTGAGTGGATTTTAGACTTGGTATATGCCTCCCTTGAGGGTACTAGACCATTAAAGATATGTCTAATTTATTTTCATTGCATATTAGCCTGAAACTTAGCACCTTACCCAAAATTCCACCTTGTTCTGCCCAAAGATTTTTGGTTCTAATTTATCTACTTTAAATGGGAGTGCACATATATTTGGTTGAATTTCGTGACCCGAAACAACGAATTTAGGATAGTTAATCATCATCTTGTTCAAGCACCAAGCTTTCTCTTGACTGAACTCTTCTTGCAGCCCTAGTTTGAATCTTTCTATAGGTGCATAGTTGGAATGACTACTTTGCCCAGCTTCAGCACAATCCGTTATTCTGTAATAATTTAGTTTGATGGAGTCCTTGCATCTGGTTTTGAATCTGATTTTTCCTTTTAGGATGGTGGTTTGTTTTAATTTGATCTACTTGTTAGACAAATTGGAAATTTCTCTTCCTTTTGGAATTTAATTAATGTTACACACTCTTGGGCTAATTTTTGTTTTTCTTGTTATTGAAGAGGCTACAACAAAGAGCAAATTGGCATCACTGAATGAGAAGCTTGATGTATTGGAACGAAAGCTAGAACTTCTTGAAGTTCAAGTGGGTACTGCATCAGCCAACCCTTCTCTTTTTGCTCGTGATGCTTAGCAGATCATGCCATTCTTATTAGATTATAATATACTGCTTTACTGTAAGCATCCTCTTGTCTATAGTGTGGACGTGAACTTATTTCTTGGTCTTGTAGCCCAGTTCAAAAAGTAATCTATCCATTTTTCTGCGTATATGTTGAGTAATAGAAGTAATTTGTTTGTCATGAGGTTATTTTGCGGGTATACACTTCAAACAGAGCATGCTCTGTTTAAAGTCTTTTATTTTCTCTTAGATACGTATGCATTGGATGCATTTTCACGAATGGAAGAGGATCGCACAAGCGAATCAGACGGTGCAGGCAATTCTTGATATAGTGGAAAAAAGACAATGTAAGTCTCTGATTAACAAGGCCTTGTAGTGGATAAAAGACAATGTAAGTCTCTGATTAACAAGGCCTTGCCCCTGTCAGATACAGCTATGTAGAACCCTAGTTGAAATTTTGCCAGTTGTGGTATTTTCCTTTAGTTAGTCATTCTTTGTGGTCTTCTTTTCCTTCATTAAAATCAATTGCTCATTCTTTGTAGTCATTCTGGTTGAATTGCATGTGTTCTCGCATCTTCTTCTTGCTGCTCCCATAGCTCAGTCCAGTGCATTTAGTATAAGCTCAGTCTTCATCTCATCTGCAAACAAGTTACTATGGTCAAGAAGACGAGCAGCTATACGCTCTTATGTTACAATGTTTTCAATTGGTTAATCTTAGAGATTTCGGACCTGTTGGTCTGCATAACAATGGGGATTTTTGTCTCGGTGGTGCTTGCTACTTATAGTTTTCAAGATTGACTTTGGATCCTTTTTATTACAAGAATCAATGAATTTATACCCCCTCACTTCCTATCTGTTTTGCTTACACAACTTACCTTCGTAATTTGATCAGACGTGTTCAGGCTAACTCCTTTCCTCAGTATACATCCCCATCTTGCAAATTAATTAACAAGTGAAAATTGGGGTGACGGCTTTAAATCCAAGATCTATTACAACCAGAGCTCTGTTACTGTGTTAGAAATTCACTAGACCCGTTTGGGACTGCTTATGTTAAAAAGAACTTATACTCTAGAGAACTTTTGCTAGAAGTGCTTTTATTACAAGTACAGGGACATGTTTTTTAACAAATCCAAGTACTTTTGGAGAAGCACTTGCACTTTAAAGATTTTCTAACACTTCCAGAAGTGCTATGATGTTAATTTTCGTGGAGCATAATTTGGTACAATTATGAATTCTCAGTGACACATTTAAGAAGTCTAACGTTGAGACCCTATGATGCCTGCATATATTGCATTGGTTTTGGTAGGCTGTTCTCATCATTTATTAAAAGGGTCAAACAATGCAAAAGAAAGCCCACACCGTTCTTCAGAACTAGCGTTAAGTAGATTCCTTCACTGTAAGAAAAATATATTACACAAGGCGCATAAATTCAAAAAGAGCATTTGGAAATTATCCTAATTTTCTCCTTTATCACTTATGCGAAGCAACAAAACAATCATTCACGAAGTGATGAAAAATCTCATAAAACCATTCACTACCTTGGCTCCGGAGGAGCCATTTGTGACAAAATAGGTGAAGGTTCTGAAGGAGAGGGTGGTGGAATCCTTCTCTCCATGACCACAGAAAAGCGATTAGATCCAAAGCTCTCTATGGATCTCATGTATTCTGATGCGTTGTTCTCTATAATCAAAGCATCTTCCAGCTCCCGTACAATTTCAACCATGTTTGGTCGGGAAGCTGCGAAGGGCTCGATACATGACACTGCCACCTCCACCACTCTCCACATAGCCTCTGCATGGTACGCTCCTTTTATGTTTGGATCAACAATTTCATCAATCTTTGATTCCCTTACATAGGATTTGGCCTGCATGCAAAGGTGTCTTTTTGTTAGTTTGCACTTATTGGATAATTACGCTATGCTTATTCACAATGATTTGAATCTTTGAGGGGGAAAAAGAATAGGAAAAAGTTTCCGGCCAGTCTATCAAAATGCAGTGTCACGTAAGAGGTCATTGATCTTTACATAAAACTTAGAGACAATATATGTATCAACATTCCGTGGACTCTGAACATGATCAAACATACCCATTCAACCAAGCTCCACTCAGGACGTGGCCTGTGTATGTTCAGAGGTTCCCGGCCGCTTACAATTTCAAGCAGAACAACGCCAAAGCTAAATACATCACTTTTAGCTGATAAATGATGGGTCATGTAGTACCTGAACAATACCAGATTGAGATTATCAGGTTCAGGTAAATGTTTTCTACAGTTTATGCTTTTTGCACTAGCTGAAAACTTCAAGATGCCAAAAATAGGAGATATTTTTAGCTTGTCCTGAATTTGTCCATGTCCATGTACCTAGTGGATCCATGTCCATGTACATTCATCAAGGGTATGGTGACAGATTGACGTTGTATGTAGATGCAAGTTTAAACGTTATTTATTTTATTTAAATTGGCAGAGTGTTCTTGTAGTCCGACATCTCTACAGTCTACCAGTTGTGATTTAAACTAAAATAAGAAACTACAAAACCCAAAAACAATTCAAACCGAACAACTTAAGCTCAAGAAACAATCTTACTCTGGATCCAAGTATCCAGCTGTCCCTCTTACTTCCAGAGAAGCACAACTGTCACCTTCTTGGGGAGCATATTTTGAAAAACCAAAGTCTGCCACCTTGGCAGACATGCTATGATCCAGAAGAATGTTACTTGATTTCACATCCCTATGTATAATGCAACGCCCAGCAAAAGTGTGAAGATGCGTCAAACCTGAACAGTGAAAGTACTCTTCAAACCTTCTGATATTCAAAATGTTAATGGGAAAAGACAGTGAACATCCAGTCCATGAAAATAATAATGAATACTATATATAACTTGCCTCGAGCAGCACCAAGAGCAATTGACAGTCTGGTTGGCCAGTCCAGAATTTTTCTTTTTGCTGCTTCCCCTGTTAATTTATTTGATTTCAGTAACAATGAAAATCAAAAGGTATGAGTCCAGAGAAACAGTGAGGTGACCAGTACCATAGAGGCGATCTTGTAGAGAGCCATTGGACATAAATGGATAAACTAGAATTTCTTGGTCATTTTCACAGCAATAACCAAGAAGAGGCACGAGGTTCTCATGGCGAATAGCTGAAAGAAGATTTAGCTGTAAAGTACATTAAAAGAATCGTCATTTCGCTTTTAAGGTATGTCAAAACATAACATGATAGTTCATCCACCAGTTAAGGAAAAAAAAATTCATTTCTTGATATGAGATAAATAGACAAAAGTTAAAGATGGAAGAATGATAAGTAATGATTTCCTACATTAACATGAATTGTCATATATTATAGTAGTTATCAGTAGTTAATTACAATTTAAACCTCTACTAAAATCGCCTAAAAGGACAAACTTGAAATGAAGAAAAACTATGATTGTTATGGCACCCCAGCCAAGGAGCATTTTCCCTAGAAATGCTTGAACCATGTAGGGGTTGCCTCTGGGGTGCGCAACACCCCAGCTGGGCCCTGCCCATGGGGGCATTGACATGGGCAGTGACCATGGCTACCACCACCATTCAAAGCAACCCAAAATAAAGTAGGTTAGGATATAGGGGTAATCGGGAATATTCTTGGGTGGGGTGAGTAATGAACACAGAGAAGTAAAAAATTGTAGGGGGTGGGAAAAGAAAATGTGAAAATAGAAAGATATTAAGTAATCTAGAATGCACAGCAAGCGTTATATTTGATCTAATGGTAGCTAACTACAAATTTCCCTGCTCCACAAGGAGTGGGAGAGTAGGAGTGATATTTCAAGTTCTATGAGTCATATAAAATAGCTAAATCACATTAGATGATAACTGTAGGACTGTTGCATAAAGTTATCAAAAGCTATGACCAAAAGTGCTCAAAAATGATAATTGAATCTCCAACCTCATTCTCGAATTCCCGAGTTCCTTGGGTTGATGTTGCTGATCGAACCTTCACTGCCACTTCCTGACCATCAATTAAAGTTCCACGGTAAACAGACCCGAAACCTCCTTCACCTATCAATGTTTTATACCTTTGGGTCGCAGCCTCTATGTACTCAAGAGTAAATGTTTCTATGGATATTGACTTTAAAACCAGATCATCCATGCTGGGTAATGAGAAGATTAAATCTGCAGTTCAAGGATATCTTTATTCAGAGGCTATGTATTTTAGAAAAGCAAACTATATAATCTGCAAAACTTCCTCAATTAGCCTGACAATGTAAACACTTCGTAGATCATACGCACACCCAACAATTTTGTTTATTGAATGTACAAGGGTATAATTGACATATATTTGTCTTTCATTCATCCCTACAGATATTGGATGCGAACTCAAAATTCTAATTCATGGTCACACCTTCTATTTTATGCTAAGTTGCACATTTTCAAACACCACGGTGACATGATGATGCTAAAGTACTTACACAAAAATTACATCCAAGTGTGATATATCCAGTAATTACTCTGCAAACTATAGCAGAAAAGCTGTAACTACACATTATGTAATTGTATTGTGCCAATTTTACTTTCTTTTTATTTTTCCTAATTCAAGTGTGGTGCCAAATTAACTTGCAAAATCATGTCCTAAAACAAGCCAGCAAATATTTGCATACTTCTGGCAAGCTTATATTAGACCGCATGTGGTATAAACTGAATATAATAACTTATTAATAATAGGTGTAATATATTTTGATTTTTACTAAAAATGATTGTATAAGAAAATTAAGGTAGGATGCTTTGTCTCAAGATCTGTATGAAATTCCACAATTGTAATACAATTGAATATTTCATACCATGTATAGTTTATAGCATTAATTTTAATTTGATTCATTTCTTTTTTTTTTTATTCACAATTTTTTTACATACTAGGTATTTAGTACTCTATAATCTGTGTAATGTGTGTTAGTATAATAATCTTGAAAATTGCAGGAATGGACATGAAACAAGAATCTGTGATGTCTTTTTATTGTTGTGGGGGCTACATTTCCAGATTGGCAACCAACAAATGGAATTTGTATTTCTTACCGTTGAAGTCAAAAACCAAAATGAACTAACTGTTCCTAGAATCTTAGAAGTATGAGTGGAATACCAGGAACAATATAACATGTAGTGCACTCACTCTTTGCCATAGGAAGATGTCTTTTCGCATCAAATTTTCCTTGAGGCATAAATTTTTGTCTCCAAGTGCAAAAAATTATCCCAGCTATAATGGTTAGTAGTACAGACCCAGATGCAGCAGCGCCAATGATGATTCGTTGTTTAGAAGATTCTAGAACACTGCAACTTCCATGGCTGTAACATAGACATACACATTTCAGATTTTTTTAATACTTTTAGTTATTCTTCAATTCACTAATTTTGTTTGAATTCATAGAGAATAAATACATACTCTGTGGTAAATTTTGAGCCATTGAAGCTGGAGGGAATATTTTTTGCAACATGAGGGTTGCAGCCAAAATATCTGTGGATCAACCACATGCACATGAATATATGGTGGCATGTTTAATGCTATGTCACTAATTTCGCACGTGAAAATGAATATCGAAGTAAAAACTTACAGTGTTTCCAAATGGGGCAGTGAGATAAGAGATACTGGAATTGACCCCGAAAGATCATTGCTGCTCAGATCCCTGACAATATGAAGCAAACCAATCAAGAAGAAAGAAAAAAAACTCGCAAAAGAGTTATACAACACTCTCACCGGAATGCTCAGAATACATAGAACTGAGGAGTACACAAAGAAAAGAATATGTGAAACCTTTAAAAAAGAAAAAATTTGAGCCTCTAGTTTTTAACAACTTTTTTTTGTTGAACTATAGAATCAGAACATCAAAGTACAATCATTATATATCCAGTAAATCAGACTAACTCCAATGGGTAGTTCCAAAACTAACTGACTTGAGAATTCAACCTATATGCCTTAAATTTAGGATATTTCAGAAATTGCGCATGCGTTCCCATGCAAGTATAAAGACGGGAAATGCCAAGAAAAACTACAACTTGACATATGGACTTGTATAATCCTAGTAGATATTTCACAATTTGAGCATGGTATGTTTTCATGCAAGTATACAAATCGGAAATGCATATGTGTGTCAGTGTAAATTCAGTATCAGCACAACAGATGGGATGTTATCTTCCTAAATATGCCCAGAACACGTCACTTGATCCATGTAAGAGAATGACACTTTCCTGCAGCTCCCGGCTGGATGAATGGATGAAGCCAGTTTACAAAGCTTAATGCCAATGGCTCATGCAGCGTAATACTAGAGATTTTATAAAGCATGCCAGGTGTGGAGGCCTTCCTAATACATCATATAATGACCTTAAAGGAGCCTGCCTAAGAAATGCAGGCTATTTGCAATTTTCATAATAATCTATATGCCTTAAATTTAACCTATATGCCTTAAATTTAGGATATTTCAGAAATTGCGCATGCCTTCCCATGCAAGTATAAAGACGGGAAATGCCAAGAAAAACTACAACTTGACATATGGACTTGTATAATCCTAGTAGATATTTCACAATTTGAGCATGGTATGTTTTCATGCAAGTATACAAATCGGAAATGCGTATGTGTGTCAGTGTAAATTCAGTATCAGCACAACAGATGGGATGTTATCTTCCTAAATATGCCCAGAACACGTCACTTGATCCATGTAAGAGAATGACACTTTCCTGCAGCTCCCGGCTGGATGAATGGATGAAGCCAGTTTACAAAGCTTAATGCCAATGGCTCATGCAGCGTAATACTAGAGATTTTATAAAGCATGCCAGGTGTGGAGGCCTTCCTAATACATCATATAATGACCTTAAAGGAGCCTGCCTAAGAAATGCAGGCTATTTGCAATTTTCATAATAATCTATATGCCTTAAATTTAACCTATATGCCTTAAATTTAGGATATTTCAGAAATTGCGCATGCCTTCCCATGCAAGTATAAAGACGGGAAATGCCAAGAAAAACTACAACTTGACATATGGACTTGTATAATCCTAGTAGATATTTAACAATTTGAGCATGGTATGTTTTCATGCAAGTATACAAATCGGAAATGCATATGTGTGTCAGTGTAAATTCAGTATCAGCACAACAGATGGGATGTTATCTTCCTAAATATGCCCAGAACACGTCACTTGATCCATGTAAGAGAATGACACTTTCCTGCAGCTCCCGGCTGGATGAATGGATGAAGCCAGTTTACAAAGCTTAATGCCAATGGCCCATGCAGCGTAATACTAGAGATTTTATAAAGCATGCCAGGTGTGGAGGCCTTCCTAATACATCATATAATGACCTTAAAGGAGCCTGCCTAAGAAATGCAGGCTATTTGCAATTTTCATAATAATCTTTTCGGTTAACAAATATTGCACGTGTTAGTATTTCATTAGTGCAGTTGGATAGCTATTTATTAAATCGCAAACAGAAATTTCCATCAACATAGAATTTGAAAGAGAAAATTACACTGAGATCAACAAGGAGGAAGGAAGAAATGCTGGAATATCGCCAGTAAAGCCATTGTGGCTGAGGTTCCTACATATCACAAACAAAAGACAGCAACGCATTGAAATTAGAGTTACAGTAAATCAATAGAATCTAACACTAAAAACTGAAAGGAATGACGCTTTAACCATACAGGGCTATTAGGTGAGTCAGCTTAGTGATACTTGAAGGAACTGGCCCTTTAAGAATGCTATTTTGATCAGACCCTCTAAGAATGCCAGAAGAAAGATCCCTGAAAGTTGTAATAATGAGCAAAGTTAAGCATGAAAATACCTATAAGAAAGCAATAGTAATTATAATAGAACATTAAAATATAATGAATTATCAATTTTCCGTGAAATATGATACTTATCTACTTTTTACCTATTTTGCAATCAAAATTCTTTTTAATTTATGTAACAAAATTAAAAAAATTTACCTATTTGAACTTACGGTATTTTTTTAAATACAAGAAGTTGTACAATTATGATCTTTAAACCCCAAAGCATCTCACCTAACTGAAAACTAGTATAATTCAATACAAACACTAAGTTGTCATGATTCCATCCAAGCCATTTGCAGAACTTTTTCAAAAGCTAGGAAAATAAATAACTTACAGTTTGGTAATGACAATGTAACCATCAATGGCTGCACAAGTTATACCATCCCAGGGAACTGGAAGACATGGGTCTCCGGACCAACCCTCCCAAACTTCATTTTGTGGGTTATTCTTCAACAACTCATTCTTCACCTCCAAAATCACTTCCACTGAAGAAATAGTGTGTCATAAGACAAAAGAAATAGTGAAGGCTAGAAAACCCACTAATTATTATAAACACCCAATTGGAAACTAGAAATTCTAGTGGCAAACAAAACTTACCATCACTTTGGTTAGTCTCTTGAACCCACGGAAGCACCTGCAAGATCTCATAAGCATTGCAAAGGGGTCCATTTTCAGACCCAGGAGCCTTAACCAGTGTCAAATTGAGAAACCCATTTGCTGTGACAGTGAAAGCAAGCTCCTTGTAGTTGGAGCCATTACCGGAGACATCAAATCTCGATTGTTGCAGCTCATTGTTGAGGTAAATATCAAACACCCTTTGCCCAGCTTGAACTGTCTGGTTGACCTCATAAAGGTAGAGGAACATAAGGTACTGGTAGCTTGTTGTGGAAAGGCCATTGCGAATAATGACCAATTGGTCTGAAGCCACCAGAGCTGTTTGTAGGACTTGTGAAGGCACGCTCGCACTGGCGTTGCCGGAGATGAAGACATTGGTGGTTATAAGAGAGGTTCCACTTCCAAGGTCACTTGAATTTGAAGTCCAAATTCTGTCACTTGGGTCATTTGGGTACCTGAAAATTAACGACAAAATGTAATAGGCCTGATATTAAATTTGTCTCGGTCTTTGTGCTGATTTCAATGGGCCCTTTGAAGGCTGAGTGGGCCAAATTGAGGCCCATAGAGGAGCCGGGTTCCACCAATTGATCCTACTTTTTTTGACGGTTTCTCACACACTACCAGTGTGTTACGGGTATTCGAACTTGAGACCATTGATTTATAAGTCAATGTCATTTTCCATTGGACTAGACCACGTTGGCCCAATTCATTTTACTTTAGAACTGTCATACTACACCATTATTTTTTTTTACGCCCATCACAGGACATATTTCCTTTTTCAAGTGCTTTATGCTTCTAATAAAAGTGCGTCAAAAATATGAACATAAATGCTTCTTATAAAACTCTCCCGATCGGGAACTAATGATGTTGTACAAGAAGTTCATATAAAGTTTTGACCGTTTATCACATAGATGTATACATTAATTGACTATTGAGAACGTGTGGTACAATGGGTGTCTTATAATGCTTGGTATGACATATTTGAATTGGATATAATAAAATTTCCTATACAATTTCATGTGTAAAATCATACGCATAATAAGTAAAAAAAATCATAAATGTTATATTTAAACAAGAAAAATTGCACATATGTAACATGAGAAGAGACATAGAATTTGTGTAAGATTTCCACATGCCATTATTCCTTTAATCACTATTACCATATTATTCATTCCAAAATGCATGTCAGCATCCCACATGTCACATGCAACGCAAAGTGAGAGCAAGACTGCATTGGGCAGTATAAGAAGTATAAATGCTGGTTTTTCTACCTTGATTTGGCATAATTTGAAATTTTGAAGTTCTCTCTCCGTACTGGTAGCTTGTTGTGGAAAGGCCATTGCGAATAATGACCAATTGGTCTGAAGCCACCAGAGCTGTTTGTAGGACTTGTGAAGGCACGCTCGCACTGGCGTTGCCGGAGATGAAGACATTGGTGGTTATAAGAGAGGTTCCACTTCCAAGGTCACTTGAATTTGAAGTCCAAATTCTGTCACTTGGGTCATTTGGGTACCTGAAAATTAACGACAAAATGTAATAGGCCTGATATTAAATTTGTCTCGGTCTTTGTGCTGATTTCAATGGGCCCTTTGAAAGCGGAGTGGGCCAAATTGAGGCCCATAGAGGAGCCGGGTTCCACCAATTGATCCTACTTATTTTTACGGTTTCTCACACACACTACCAGTGTGTCACGGGTATTCGAACTTGAGACCACTGATTTGTAAGTCAATGTCATTTTCCATTGGACTAGACCATATTGGCCCAATTCATTTTACTTTAGAACTGTCATACTACACCATTATTTTTTTTTACGCCCATCACAGGACGTATTTCCTTTCCTTTTTCAAGTGCTTTATGCTTCTAATAAAAGTGCGTCAAAAATATGAACATAAATGCTTCTTATAAAACTCTCCCGATCGGTAACTAATGATGTTGTACAAGAAGTTCATCTAAAGTTTTGACCGTTTATCACATAGATGTATAAATTAATTGACTATTGAGAACGTGTGGTACAATGGGTGTCTTATAATGCTTGGTATGACATATTTGAATTGGATATAATAAAATTTCCTATACAATTTCATGTGTAAAATCATACGCATAATAAGTAAAAAAAATCATAAATGTTATATTTAAACAAGAAAAATTGCACATATGTAACATGAGAAGAGACATAGAATTTGTGTAAGATTTCCACATGCCATTATTCCTTTAATCACTATTACCATATTATTCATTCCAAAATGCATGTCAGCATCCCACATGTCACATGCAACGCAAAGTGAGAGCAAGACTGCATTGGGCAGTATAAGAAGTATAAATGCTGGTTTTTCTACCTTGATTTGGCATAATTTGAAATTTTGAAGTTCTCTCTCCTGTTATATATATATGTAAACTAGCAAATGAAGGTATGCTTTTGGATCTGGGTTATTGAGTTTTGGGGAGCCAATTTTTCATTTCATTCTTTTCTTGTGGTCATAATCCATCTTAATTAGGCCATTTATGTTTCTAATTTTGTTTCATTCCTTGGGTTTAAAGAAATCAAGTTCTAGAAAGCATACCTGATCTCCTCTTTTGAAGTTGCAAATTTAATTCTTGCAACCAGTTTCAGAACACTTGAAGGGAAGTCTTGTAGATACTGTTTCAAGCCATGCAGAGGCCTCAACTCAAGCTCTGAAATATAAGGAGCCCCTCCCTTCCCATTCACCAAGCAGAAGTAGGTCAAGTCCTCAGTGGCTCTCAAAATTCCTTCAACCACTACTGAGTCCTCAGATGAATCTACTACACCAATTGGGGTCACTCCAACTGAAACTAAGAAGTTAAAGTGTGAGCCCCAAAGAGGCCCAAATAGAAATGTGCCCCTTATCAGATAGTCTTCACCCTTTGTTGTTGATAGCTTATAACATCTTCTCTGACCTGAGCCTTGGTAAAATACTCTGGTTCTGTTGTAACCAGAATTGTTTACCACTGCCTTAACTGAAGTGTGGCAGCCTCTGTTATTAGGGAACTGATTAAAGTCTGATATCCAGCTAATGTTTCTACTATCCGTAAAATCCGATTCGGCGCAGCATGCAATGCTCACAAAGCTGCCTGCATAATACAGCAAAAATTAAATTAGATCTTATTAAGAACAATCAAGATATAAGTGTAACCAAATTTTGAGAACCCTAGTCTCGCATTCCTGAAAGGATCTCCCTTGGCAAAATGGTTAGGTGACCGATCTCCATGTTGAGATCAACCACTTTCAATGGTTTTGAATTTTAGTGGATTAGCAGACCATACATGAGACTTTTTTGCTGCAAAGTTACAAATGATCATGACTCATTCTCTTTTCCCATATAATTTCTTGCCATATCATAAGGTTAGAAACTGAACCCCAAAGAGGCTCTAATCTGGATGAAACTTAATATTGTTAAAATTGATCTAGAATCATGTACAAAATCTGAAGAAAAAAAAAATTAATGCCTTATTTAATTTTGTTTCTTTATTAATTATGATCATAAGTTTCATCTACATGCTTACCTTCATCTGCAGAAGTAGGTCCAGAAAGAATGAAGAGGCAAAGGATGAAAAACTCTATTAGCCTTAAAACCCAATAATCTAATTCCTTCATCATCCTTTTATCTTAGGCCGAGGTCTCCCCATTTGGCTATCAAACACATAACCAAACCAACATATGTGACTTTTTTAAATTCCACCAACAACCAAAACAAAAACCCTTGTGAATTTCATGAAACCTCATTCAACTTGACACAAAACCTTCAACTAATTTGCACCAACAAATTAATTAGATGCAGTAATTGAAACAAAGCATCTTGATCATGACAAAAAAATTCAAGCATGTGACAGAAGTACTATAGCTGGGTTCTTGGCACAGAAAATATGAATCTTGGAGCTTTAGAGACAAAAGAGCATCAAAGGGTCAGAAGAATGGGAGAGGGAAAGAGATCTGGGAAAATGGTTTGACTTGTGATGTGGAGGAGCAGTGCAGAACCGCAAAACAAGGAAGAAGAATGAGTGTTTCTGGATTAGAATAATGCAATGTTCACAGTTATTTAAAACATTTAATTTTAGTTTTTATTCTAGTGGTGGATCCAGTTTATTATTAATTAAAATGGTTTTTTTAATAACAAGGCGGAGCGACCCTTCGTCTCTCTCCTTGTCTGTTACCATGGACGCAACATCACAGAAGATGGGTTTTGGCTGTTTTTTTTTTTTTTGCTGCTTAAATAGAATAATTTCATAGGGATGCTAACAACCTTCTCTACATATGTTTTTCACTCAAAACAATATTTTTAGGGAAATTTGCATGAATACCACCTGAACTTTTACGCATGTGCGGCATTACCACCTGAATTTTTAATTTTTGTTATTAACCACCTGAACTTTGTAAAGTGTCGAAATTTACCACCTACATCTAACTCCATTAAATTTTCCGTTAACTCAGTTTAATTTATAACTAAAAAACGTTTTAAAACTAAAATAAAATTTTCTTGTTTTTTTGAAAAACCAACCTAGTTATCTCACAACCTCCCCCACTGCCCACCTAGTAGTCTCGTCCCCTACCCTCCCACTTAACTCCCATCCTTACTTCATATCTCAACCAAAGCCAAAAAGATTTATTATCGGTTTTTGAAGAATTGATGGCCAAATTAAATGAATTAGTCTCACACCGCCATGGATGAATTAGTCTCGGAACGTTGATGATTCCCTCCTGGTTCTCTACCTTTAGAAACCACAAAAAACTCACATTCACTTGTTACCTAATGAAAAAATATCCTTATACAGAAAATCCAATATATCTATTTGATATTAAAGAAATGTATTAAAATCTTCCTACAAAATTATAAAAGGCCATGAATCCAC